ACGACTTTCTTCTTCTTTCTCGCATCTAAACCGTTGTTCTTGGACAGAGGCGTTCTTTGAGAACTCTCCGGTTTACTAGAATACGATGGTGCCCATTTAGTAGGTGTCCCCATACGAATTTGCTTCATCTTTCTTAGCTTTTTCTCATGAGCTCGCTTTGCCTTTTCCGGAGATAACATACCATGTTCCATTAGCCTGTTTCCAACACATGCGAGAAAACAAATGTTCGCAAGAAACCATTCAAGTTTTATGCTAAAATGAGCCAAGAACAATGCTTTAAGTTCATCATAAAGACTTGTCAATAGTTTTTACTTACCAGTACTCAGCCATTTCGCTCCCTGGTATTTGTTTCGATAACGATTCATAGAATATCCTCAAGGGCTCTCTCTGTAAATGCAAAAGACAGAGAAATCAAGAACATGATAATTAATGACAATTAGAGAGATTCAATAGAGCAATAATCTTTAGAATTGTAGTAATAACTAACCTCTTCAGGAATATCATATTTCTGTCCGGTTAACGAATAAACCTTCTTCTCTCTTTTCGCTTTACCTTTCCCCAAACTCGCTGCCGCGGATGTTGTTGCTGCGGTTTTCACCGAATTTACGTGTACTTTGGGCTTTACCTTCACAAAATTTTTACAAGTTGGTTGTATGATCAACCTATAAACCAAGATATCTGAAATCACGTCATGATCCAAAATTTTACGAAATTGATCTAAGGGATCGATCATTAAACCCAATTCCAATTTCATCGTCAATTAAAAAACTTCGATCTACAATTGATCCGATTTAACAAGATTTTTTCCCCAAAACTTACATCTAACAATGATCAACACAATTAATTTCAGAGAACCCAAATCAGAAAACTTCCAGTACGAATATAAAAAAAAACGATCAAAGTCGATAATTTCCTTTGTTGTTCGCTCTGTTCAACAGAACCTTAGAAACTTGCGATCAAAACTTTAAAACTGAGTTTTTTTTTTCCGATTGATACCTCGGATTTCGCAGTGACGGTGGTAGTAGCGGATCTGGGTTTGGTTTCCGACATGATCGGTCTGGTAGAGCTTGCGATCTTCTTTTTGTCCTTAAAAGACGGATCGATCTTGACTCTTGAAGCAAGAGAAGAAGACCCATCGCGTGGCTCGCTCTTAGACGAACTGGGTCTCGTTTGTGTCGCCATGAAAAGTTCAGAAATTCAGCTCAACTACTTTTACGGTTCGAAGAACCCGACAACGATTCCGATTAAGTCGTGGTTATGTAATGAAATGGTAAAGTTAAACACGAACGATTTTGATGTTACCGTTTTACCGGTAATTTTAAATTTACACGAGGAATTAATAATCTATCACGCGCCAATCGGATACTTATTTTTTATTTACACCTCATAAGTTTCTATTTAATTGGAGTTTTTTTTTCTTCTTTGATGTCTTTTATTGTTTGGAGAAATTTTTATTGGATAATCAGAATAGAACCTAAAACATATAAAATAGGTTCAATCTTTAGAAATTTAAGGATATAAATCAATTTATTTATGTTTTAAAGTTAAAGATCTAGTTCTTTGACCAAAAAAAAAAAGTTAAAGATCTAGTTTTGATAGGGTTTCAAAATTAGGCAGGTTTTGATTTTAGATTAGTTTTCTTAATTTATAAAATACATATTTCCATAATTATGATATAAAAACTTCTTTAAAATTTACTAAGTAAAATATATGTATATTATCATTTTTATTTGTAAGATCTCATGGAATTTATTTCAATTGTCAAATAAAAGATTTCATCCTCCAACCCTTGCATTTGTCTACAATCTTTGGATATCCCTTATCTTATAAAACAGAAGTTAGAGAGAGATTCCTAAAATTACTCTCAACTTAACAATTCAACATTTTGTATACCTGTTTCACCCACAAATTTTGGATTATTTTTTATTATTTCTGCACTAAAATATAAATAACTAATATTATTAAAGAAGTGTGAGTAGTGTACTAGAGGCTGTTTGATAGTTGTACATGAGCCCTAGCAGTTTTGTTCGCATAGTCAGTTTGATCTCTTGCGATATTGGTGGATTAAAGAAGAAGATGATTACACGAAGTAAGCAATATCTCTTGATTCTTTTTTAAAACATATTTTAATTAATAAATCTACTTTTCTGGTTGTAAAAAAAAGATTTACGTTCATGTTATGTATATACACAAGTCTACATCATCTATATAACCTTCTTACTGATAATTTTAATCAACATTCATGGTTTCTAGATCAATTTTTTTTCCACAGCATGGAGATCGATTGGAAGAAATTTGGAAGAAAAAAAACGGAAAATGAATTTGATGAAACAACAAGTAATAAAGAACAATGGTGAAGATAAAGTAATATCGAAAAGCACCGTAGCTACTAATTCAATTTTTATTTATATTAGGTTAATAATCTAATCTTTGATATTTCGATTAACCATTTTTTTTGAAAGATTTGATTGTTTTCAAACAAAATGAAAAATGTAAATTTAAACTAATTTTATACACGGGCATTAATACTAGTTTATAGACTAAAAGTAATGGTTGTGACAAGCTTCTTGTTTTCTTCGTACGTGTAAATTAAAAAAAAAAAAATTAGGCTTGGTTTTTACAGCCAAGTTTCGTTTTTTTTCCTTATAAAAATCACGAAATCAAAACTATTCATTTGTTATAAGCAAACAAACCACACTATACGTACTATTTAGACTATCAAATTATGAAGCCACGACAGTATATATACAAACCAGTAGTCTACAATCCTAATTTTTAAAAAACTTTAGTTAACTGTAAATTGTAATTATCCACAACAACACTAAACAAAAGGTGTAAATTGATGTAACAATCCAACCCAAAATCCTTACCTACCCGGATTAGATATGATTTGTCTAAAACGTTTGAAAGACCCGGTTATACCAAACCGAATGAAGAATCATATGAAATATATCATATCGAACCGGTTCACCATCATGCCACATAAAATGTTTTTGAACCTTCAACACTCTCTTCTGCATCTTCACATATCTCCTCACCGGAATCGATATCAGAATCTTCCTCAGATTCGGAATCTCCTTCTCCGGCACAAACACAGCAAAAGATTCCCAATCCAAAACCTCAAGAAACGGCGGTACAAAATTATCAGAGATGATCACCGGAACGCAACCGTACAAAACTGACTCGACCACCCTTGGACTATTCACCTCGTACCCTTTAGCGCAAACGCAGAATCTGCTGCGTTTCATGAACCGGACATACGTTTTATGGTCGATCCGGTTAAGGATTTTCATATCCGGTTCAGAGCTCGACGACCATTGTTTAAGCAAGATACGTCTCACGTGACCATGCAATTTTCCGGCGAAGAAAGCGAGGATGGTTCGCTTTGAAGGACGGTTACCTCCGATGTTTCCGTTTGGGTTTTGTAACGAAGAGATTCTTGTTGTCGGCAAAGACACGTCTTTTCCGACCACGAAGTCTACTCCGACATCGGCGTTACAGAGTGATCTTATGCAGTTCACGTATGGTCCTCTAGTCTCAGCTGGAGCCTATAACAAATGTTAC